TCGAATGGCTGCAGGCTGCTTGCGATCAAGTTGTCGAACTCAGCACGGATACCTTGCAAAAAGTTGCGGGCAATGTTGCGAACGACGCCTAGTTGAGTTGCGACCCAGCTCGTCACGTGTTCTTCGTTGGCCGCCCCAACAGCATAAAAGATCATCTCACCCGACACCGCTTTGCATTGTCCGGTCAAGAAATTCCAGCCAGCCCTCAATGTCTGAACATAGCCGCTACTGTACGAGTCATGCAGGACCAACGGTCGGCGAAGTTGATTGTCAGAGGTTCGAAAGCCGAAAAGGCGCTCGATCTTCTGCTCTAGCTGATTAATGAAAAAAGCAGTGCGCGCAGTGTGCGACAAAGAAGAACCATGTTGGTCTCTGACATTGTCGAAGTGGTGCGAGTATGCAATGCTTACCGAGGTAAGCTCACCCAGCAAAGACAGCAGCAAAAGCTTCTCCGCTGTGAACACTGACTTCAACAGCCTTCGGGCCCATCTAGAGTTCCTCTTGTCTGTAGACTCAGCCTCACCACAGAGGAATTGAAAGATAGGACCGATATTCAAAACCACTAGCTCGCAGACAGATGCGATTGTCCCAAACCTCTGGGCAGCGAAGTGGAAATTGGCAACAATTCCCTCCAGCTTTTGAAATGTTTCTTTCAACTTGTGCGAGTTGACGATACCGCGCGCAAAGCTCCCGGTCTCCTCTGACGTAGAAAACTTCAAGGCCCATTCATCGACAAGTTCGCGCGCAGCTTCACTTGCATGCAGCGACTTCTCTAGCGCTTTGGAAGACGCATGAACATTGCACCTCATCACGGCACGCAAGCCAGAAAGGGTCTGCTGCTCCTGACACGCTGAAAGTACAGCGGCGCAAGAAGAAGACATGACCGTAGGAATCCAACATGTATACATAAGCGGTCCTTTGCAAACCTGGCTCCAAGCGGTTCGGCCATTTCGCCGTCTGAGACAAACACCTGCCAGCTAATAATAATAGGACTGGTCCGAGAAGAGAAAACTGCCTTAGAACATGACTAGCAGAGCACCTGGACATGCTTTTTGAAGATCTCTTGAAGTTCTGCATCGTGATTCGAGAAGCGGGCGATCGCCTCCCTGATCTGGCTGGCCTTGTCAACCGAAGCCTGCGCCAGGCCAGTCACAAGTGGAGTCCCGGACTGAAATCAAGAATGCCTTCAGGCCCTCATTCGGAATGAGGTCCAAGACAAGGAACGGACACTGAAGTCGCTGAACACGGCACGGCAGCGTATGAAGAGAAACGGACCCCGACAGTCCTGACGGGAGACTTGTGCACGAATTACAAGTGCTGAAACACTAGTCCGGAATACGGCCAGTCCTCCGCCAAGCCCATGCAGCGAACCCCTGTTTTCAAGGCTTTCCTGTCCAGATCAAAGTACACCTCTGACAAAGCCTTCTGAATCTTGAAATGAATATAGGAACTCGACCTGGCCATCGGGCACAATGATGGGTTCAACTTGAAACCATCCTGACA